TTTTTTTTTTTTTTTTTTTTTTTTTTTTTTTTTAAGGTTGAAATTCTTAACGGTGGTGCCAAGCTCGTGTGGAAATTCCCTTTTATCAACATGCTTCTGCTGCCTTCGGAACTGCAACTTGCAGCTTCGCTCTAAGGAGCTGGCTGTGCCAGTGCGGATATCTGCAAAGCCCCCGTGCCCCTGGGTTGGGCTTTGCCCTTTTTGACAGCAGGGCTGTTAAAGGAATAGGTTTTTCTTCTTCATTTGTACCTCACCCGGAGTGCCTGGCCCTTCTTTTGTCCTTGTTCTCTTACTATTTATACTGCTGAAGAGTTTTGCTATTTAATTGCCTTCGCTAAGTCTAACTTAGCTCGAGTGTTCAAAGACCAGGGGCTGAATGAGTTGAACTCAGGCAGGAGAATTTAAGGGATGGCAGTTTTCCTCTGTTGCGGGAGGTAACAGCCAACGCACTGCTCCTAACCAGCAAGTTTGTATTGTATTTATATAGAATATATATTTTCCTGGTGCCTCGCAAATGATGCTTTCTCGTCATGCTGTTTCCCTGCTGCTTTCCGTCTGATGCCCTCCTGCAGCCATTCCTCATCAATCTTTCTGCTTCTTTTTAAAGTTACAATTTTTGGACGTGTGTTTTACCCTTTTGACTTTTGAATTCTGTGCACTCTCCATCCTCCAGATCCCATGCTCCTCCCTCTGGCTGATTTCTCTAGTCAGGTCTCCTAATTTCTCAGAGCGTATCCTTCGAACCCTGCTACCTTATTGGGCTACTCCTCCTTTTCAGCCCATATTGTATTAATCGCTCCAATCAAGGTTATTTTAACATTTTTCCTTACCAAACCCGTGCCTAAAATAGCCCCTCCTCGTGTCACTTTGGGGAAGAAATCTGCCGGCTGTCAGCACATTGAGCATTTCCCATCTCCTCCTGCTCAGCACGCAGAGCTGGGCAGCGGGTGGCACTCAGAGCTGTGGGATTTTTCCCCTGCTTTTCTCTCTCTCTCGGTCACTCCTCAGGGTGCTGCTGGGATTAGAGGACCTGGTGCCATCCAGCATTTCCTTAGGGAGTCAGGGAGCTGTGGCTGCACTTTGGAGGTGAGTGCTGGGAGGGAGAGCGCGCGTGATCCACAGGTCACGCTGCAGCAGTTCAGAGCGTGGTGTAACATGATGGACTGCCAGGTGAATTTATAAAATAATTACCAATTCCAGTGATTTAGGGGATGGTTTCCAGGACACTTGGGATGCCTGAATCCCAAAGGCACTGAGCCTGCAGCTTTGCTCCAGCGCTGGGAGCTTGTGTGGACACAGGAGCCTGACTGCAGGATGGTGTTTGAGCAGTAACATTTTGGAGAGCATCATAACTCCTTCCCGAAGCTCTGAACACCTGTTGGCTCTCAGGAACACTCTCTGAGCTCCCTTTAGCTAACATACACAGGCTTTTCTTTTTAAGAGTGTTTCATAATTCGATTGAGGCTTCATACGATCTGGAGCGTTTTGCAACTGCCTTGAAATGGGAAGCATTTAATTGTTTGGCGTCTTTAGGGAGATGAGCTGCCCTCATGACTATTAAGAGGGCTGTGTCCCTGCAAGGCCGTTGCAGGCAGGTGAAGGCTGAGGAATGCTGTGCAAGAGGCTCCAGCACACAGGGAGAGAGCGAGCACACCCAGTTCTGAAGGACGGAGAGGCCGATGACTTCAAAAGGGAAGAGGATGCTGCGGGGAAGGTGTGCCAAGGTCTGGATTCTGGGCTTTCTATCTGTGACTAAACACATTTCACAGCAGAGCTCGAGTGAGCTGTGCTGTGCAGCCCCAGCAGCGCAGTGGGATTTCATCAGACTCGAGAAAATAAGCAAGACGGGGGAATTTAGTGTTGCCTCTTCTCCTGGGTAATTTTCCCACCTCGGGGCTTAGTGCAAGGTGCTGACTTGCAAATGACACATCATTACGAGGCCAGCCCAGAGCTGCAAAGCCCTGCTGGGAACGTGGTCAGGAGATCGGAGGAAGCTGCCTCTTGGACTTGGTTCCTCCTGGTGTGGGACCTGCTCTGGGAACATGTTGATTTAATTCCCACAAGCTGGTTCTCGGATGGTGCGAATAAAGCTGCTGACAGTGACTGAAATGGGATTCGACACTGGAGAACCTGTTAGGCTCAGTAAATGTAGGTCTGTTGGGAGGCTTCAAAGGGTTGTATTTTAAGCCACTTTTCCCCTCTCATCATCGATTTTGAGTTTCTGGTAACTAGTTTTTATGAGGAACGAGCAGAAGTTGACAATAAAGTCACAGAAAATGCAATGCATGAAAAGCCAAAGCTAATTATATTGAAAATGATACAGACATTCCCTTCCCGATTGCTTGTGTATAAAGCATTTATTTGAGAAACGTTCTCAATGAGTTACGCACCAGGTTTAAAGCTGATGTAGCTTCTTTGATAAAATATGAGCTATTGGAAAGATTTATAAAAGTCAGACATGCTGCCGAATATTTCAGTATTTAGAGCAGCAGGAAACCACTCTGAGATATTTTTAAAACAGGTATTTACTCAAGTAATTGGTTACTTTTAATGTGGAATAAGAAAACCTGGTGCAGCTCTATTGGACTTGACATAAAAGACAGGCATGTAATTTGTGAGCAAAACAAGGTGGAATGTACACATTGTACCTGGGGAGGTATTTCAAGAAAGACAACTCCTTGAGACAAAAAGCCAAAACAACTGACACGCCAGGTTACATGCCAGAATTGCTTATTCCTCAGTTAATCAGCTGTGTAATGAGTGTCCAGAAACAATCCCTTCTGCCCAGGTAGTTTAAATTTCAAACTTTGTCAGCTTTGTGGCCGTCATAAAATGGATTACATGGAAGTTGGAGGAAAAACACATGTTTCTGAGAACATTTTGGTTCAAATAATAATAATAATAATAAAAAAAAAAAAAGTGGCAATGCCTGTGCCAACAACTTACTACAGAATATCGGAACCAGATGCTGTTAAACTATAATTCCAAACAATTTGCCAGAATTATGTATTTGCTTTATTCTTAAAGTCAAACTGAAGATATGCATGTTTTCTATTACTGGTGGGTATAAACAAAAATGTGATGTGATTACAGCTCATATAAGGCAGATAAAGCCCAACAGTCAGGATTTCTGGAACTACTGCACGAGCTACAGAAAAACTGGAAGTTCTGTTGGTAGTTATGTGTGACAGGCTCATCAAAATGGGGCTGTTCAGATTGAGACATATCAGACTGCAGTCTGCTTAGTCACCACAGGAGACCTTTGGCCAAAAATCATCCATTTCTCCCTTTTTCCCACAGTAGTACATTTTTTTTTTTCTGCCCTGAGAGAACAGGGTAGAGATCTGCAAGACGTGGAGAGTTACATTCTTAGCTAAAATAATCCATGGAAGGGTCTCCTGTTAGGAAATATT